TATGCGAGGTACACTAGCAGGGCTAGGGAAGATTATATGCGAGGTAAACTAGCCGGGTAGGGAGATTATATGCGAGGTACCACTAGCTGGCTGGGAGATTATATGCGGAGGTACACTAGCAGGGCTAGGAGAGATTATATGCGAAGGTACACTAGCAGGCTAGGGAGTTATATGCGAGGGTACACTAGCAGGCTAGGAGATTATATGCGGAGGTACACTAGCAGGCCAGGAAGATTATATGTGAGGGATACACTAGCAGGCCAGGAAGTTATATGCGGGTACTCTAGCAGGCCAGGAAGTTATATGTGAGGTCACACTAGCAGGCAGAAGATTATATGCGAGTACACTAGCAGGACTAGGGAGATTATCTTGCGAGGTAACTAGCAGGCTGGGAGATTATAATGCGAGGTACACTAGCAGGCTAGGAAGATTATATGCGAGGTCACTAGCAGGCCAGGAAGATTATATGCGAGGTAACTAGCAGGCCAGGAAGATTATATGCGAGGTACACTAGCAGGCAGGAAAATTATATGCAGAGGTACACTAGCAGGCCAGGAAAATTATATGCGAGGTAACACTTGCAGGCCAGGGAAAATATATTGCGTGGTACACTAGCAGGCCAGGAAAATTATATGCGAGGTAACTAGCAGGCAGGAAAATTATATGCGAGGTACACTAGCAGGCAGGAAAATTATATGCGAAGGTACACCTAGCAGGCCCAGGAAAAATTATATGCGAGGTACACTAGCAGGCCAGGAAAATTATATGCGAGGTACACTAGCAGGCCAGGAAAATTATATGCGAGGTACACTAGCATGGGCTAGGAAAATTATTGGTGGTACACTAGCAGCAGGAAAATTATATGCGAGAGGTTTACACTAGCAGGCCAAGGAAATTATATGCGAGGTACACTAGCAGGCTAGGAATATTATTATCGAGGTACACTAGCAGTTCTAGGGAAAATTATAAGCGAGGTACACTAGCAGGCCAGGAAAATTATATGCGAATAGTACACTAGCAGGCCAGCGAAAATTAGTTTGCGAGGTATACCACTAGCCGGCCTGGAAAAATTATTTGCGAGGTACACTAGAGGCAGGAAAATTATATAATGCTACGAGGTACAACTAGCTGGCCGGAAAATTTATGCGAGGTACACTAGCAGGCTAGGGACAATTATTATGCGAGGATACACTAGCAGGCCAGGAAATTATATGGGAGGTACACTAGCCAGGCCAGTGAATTTATATGCGAGGTACCACGAGCAGGCCAGGAAATTATATGCGAGGTAAACTAGAAGGCCAGGCATAATTATCTGCGAGGTACATTAGCAGGCCAGGAAATTATATGCGAGGTACACTTGCAGGCTAGGAAATTATATGCGGGTACACTAGGCAGGCTGGAGGATTATATGCGAGGTACACTAGAGGCCAGGAAGATTATGGCGAGGTACACTAGCAGCAGGAAAATTATATGCGAGGTACAACTAGCAGGCTAGGAAAATTATATGCGAGGTACCACTAGCAGGCCAGGAAAATTATATGCGAGGTACACTAGCAGGCTAGGAAAATTATATGCGAGGTTACATAGCAGGCCAGGAAAATTATATGCGAGAAGGATACAATAGCAGGCCTGGAAAAATTATATGCGAGGTACACTAGAGGCGGAAGATTATATGCGAGGTTACACTAGAGGCTAGGGAGAGATTATATGCAGGGACACTAGAAGGCTAGAAAATTATATGCGGGTACACTAGCAGGCTAGGGAGATTATATGCGAGAGACACTAGCAGGCCAGGAAGATTATTGCGAGGTACACTAGCAGGCCAGGAAAATTATATGCGAGGTACACTAGGCAGGCTAGGAAATTATATGCGAGGTAAACTAGCAGGCAGGAATATTATATGCGAGGTACATAGCAGGCTAGGAAAATTATATGCGAGGTACACTAGCAGGACAGGAAAATTATATGCGAGGTACCTAGCAGGCAGGGGAAAATTATTATGCGAGGTACACTAGCAGGCCAGTGAAGATTATATGCGAGTACACTAGCAGGCCAGGAAAGTTTATATGCGACGGTACACTAGCAGGCCAGCGAAATTATATGCGAGGTACACTAGCAGGCCAGGAAGAGGATTATATGCGAGGGTACATAGCAGGGCTGGGAAGAATTATATGCGAGGTACACTAGCAGGCCAGGAAAAATTATATGCGAGGTACACTAGCAGGCTAGGAAATTTATATGCGAGGTACACTAGCAGGCCAGGGAAAATTATATGCGAGGTACATAGCAGGCCAGGAAAATTAATGCGTGGTACACTAGCAGGCAGGAAATTTATATGCGAGGTACACTAGCAGGCCAGGAAAATTAATATGCGGAGTTACACTAGCAGGCCAGGAAAATTATATGCGAGGATACACAGCAGGTAGGAAAATTATATGCGGGTGAGGTACACTAGCAGGCCAGGAAAATTATATGCGAGTACACTAGCAGGCCAGGAAAATATATGGAGGTACACTAGCAGGTAAGGAAAATTTTATGGACGGTACACTAGCGGCTAGGAAAATTATATGCGAGGTTACATAGCAGGCCAGGAAGAAAATTATATGCGAAGTACTCTAGCAGGGGGGCCAGGAAAATTTATGCGAGGTACACTAGGAGGCCGGAACATTATTAGCGGAGGTGTACACTAGCGGCCAGGAAATTATATTGCGAGGTACACTAGCAGCGCCAGGAAAATTATATGCGATGTATACACTTGAAGGCTTAGGAAAATTATATGCGAGTGTACACTGCAGGCCAGGAAAATTATATGCGAGGTAAAAACACTAGCAGGCCAGGAAAATTATATGCCGAGGTACACTAGAAGCCAGGAAAAGTATATGCGAGGTACACTAGCAGGCCAGGCAAAAAATTATATGCGAGTACATTAGCAGGCCAGAAAATTATATGCGAGGTACATAGGCAGGCTAGGAAAATTATATGCGAGTACACTAGCAGGCTAGGGAGATTATATTGCGAGGTACACTAGCGCCAGGAAGATTATATGCGAAGGTACACTAGCAGGCCAGGAAAATTATATCGAGGTCACTAGCAGATAGGAAAATTTTAATGCGAGGTTACACTAGCAGGCCAGGAAAAATATATATGCGAGGTAAGGTACCTAGCAGGCTAGGAAATTTATATGCGAGGGTACACCTAGCAGGCCAGGAAATTATATGCGAGGTACATAGACAGGCAGGAAAATTATATGCGAGGTTACACTGCAGGCAGGAAGATATATGCGAGGTACGCTAGCAGGCTAGGGAGATTATATGCGAGGTCATAGCAGGGGCTAGGGGAAAAATTATATGCGAGGTACACTAGCAGGCTTAGGGAGATTTTATGCGAGGTACACTAGCAGGCCAGCGAAGAATATATGCGAGGTACACTAGCAGGCCATGGAAAAATTAATATGCGAGGTACACTAGCAGGCTAGGAAAATTATTTGCGAGGTACACTGCAGGCCAGGAATATTATATGCGATGTACACTAGCAGGCTAGGGAAAATTAATGCGAGGTACACTAGCAGGCCAGGAAATTTATATGCGAGGTTCACTAGCATGGCCAGGAAAAATTATTGGAGGTCCACAGCAGGCCAGGAAGATTATATGCGAGGTTTCACTTAGCCAGGCTAGGGAGGATTATATGCGGGTACACAAGGCAGGCTAGATATTATATGCGACTTGTACATAGCAGGTAGGGTGATTATATGCGAAGGTACACTAGCAGGCCAGGAAAGACTGATATGCGAGGTACACTAGCAGGCCAGGAAAATTATGTGCGATGTACACTAGCAGGCTGGTTAATAATATGCGAGGTACACTAGCAGGCAGGAAAAAACGAAAACAAAATTTATATGCGAGGTACACCTAGCAGGCTAGGGAAAATTTATGGAGGTACACTAGCAGGCCATAAATTTATGCGAGGTTACACTAGCAGCCATGTGAAATTATATGCGAGGTACACTAGCAGGCCAGCGAAGATTATATGCGAGGTACACTGCAGGCTAGGGAGAATTATATGCGAGGTACACTAGCAGGTAGGAAAATTATATTCGAGGTTACACTAGCAGGCGAGGGAGATTATATTGCCGAGGTACTAGCAGGCCCAGGAAGTTTATGCGAGGTACATAGAGGCCAGGATAATTATATGCGAGGTTACACTAGCAGGCTAGGAAAATTATATGCGAGGTACACTAGCAGGCCAGAAAATTATATGCGAGGTACACTTAGCAGGCTAGGAAACTTATATGCGAAGGTACAACTTAGCAGGCAGGAAAAATTATTGCGAGGTACACTAGCAGGCCAGGAAAATTATATGCGAGGTACACTAGCAGGCCAGGAAGATAATATGCGAGGTACAATAGCAGGCCAGGAAGATTAATATGCGAGGTACACTAGCAGGCCAGGAAATTACTATGCGAGGTACACTGCAGGCAGGAAGATTATATGCGACGGGTTCACTAGCAGGCAGGAAGATTTTTGCGAGGTACACTAGCAGGCCAGAAAATTATATGCGAGGTACACTAGCAGGCTAGGAAAATTAATATGCGAGGTTACACTAGCAGGCCAGGAAATTATATGCGATTGGTACACTAAGGCCAGGGAAAATTATATGCGAGGTACACTAGCAGGCCAGGAAAATTATATTATATGCGAGTTACACTAGCAGGCTAGGGAGATTATTAAAAAACAGCTGACTCTGTGGGTTGGTTCTGGGACTGCTGGCACCTGCCTCTTTAAGCCTATCACTTCATTTACAATTAAACCTATTTTAAATGACACTTTAGCATTTATTATCTATATACTAGGGTGCCACTGTAGTATACACTATAACACTATGTATACTCAATATTGCACACGGCACACTAGGCCTATGATTCCCCTCTGGAAGTATACTCTGCTAGGTATTGCACACTAATTCTCCTTTTTTGACTCAGTGTATACTATTTTCTGCCCAAGATTGGTTCCAACGCTAGAGGGATGTATCGTATAAGATCGCTGGCACAAATTAAAGTTCTAACAGAACGACAGAATGACGTTGGAGCCAACTGTGGGCAAGAAATTTTAATTGGTCAGTTGAACTTATTTCATCAATGTTATGGTATACGAACATGTATCACACTTGAATTATTGTATGAATGAACGAGCTTAGATGAAGTTAAATTCTTCAGAAAGGTACTGTCTATTCAATATATGTTAATGACTGATGGTGTATGCAGGATCACTGCATGATATGTAAGCTGTCTGACACACGCTTCACTAATCTACTTTACTGAAAAGTCCATCCTTTGAGGCGGAGTTTCATGTGTTTCCTTTGACTTATAAGTATAAATAAACTATTATACCAACTTAAACTTAAATTTTACTCATGCACTAACCCCCACCTCCACTAAATCCTACTTCGCACATTCAGCATCTTTCCCCACAGACTAATTTGATAATAACTTATTTGAGAAGGGGATGCAGTCAATGGTGTTGTGGTGTTCAAAACTGTCCGAAAAGTGTGAGCATATATGGTACCGGACAAATAAAGGCCTTGTTATAACAGTTAAGGACAAATATACATCTCTCTGGTATTGAAGAACTCTGCTGAAATGGCAGATTTTTCAAGCTCAGATCCAAAGAAGACTTATAAGTTACCTAGATGAGGAGCAGCGGGAGCAGTCCAAGAAAGTGGAGCTTCCTCAAAGGTTTTGAGCCACTTCTAGTACCTCACATTGAGGTGTTACTGATATTTACTGAAGTTTATAATTTTATTTTTTCATTATTGTTTCCACTACTAGTAGTAAAACTTATAATACCAGCCATAAACAGTTATGGTAAAAGTAGCAGTCACTGAAGTAGTATCAGTATAATAGTTTATAGTAACAGTAGCACAAGCAACAGCATCACTAATAGTGGCTATAATAGGTAGCACTAGTTCCCCCAGTACTATTATCAGAGTTCTAGTAGAGGTACTATTAAAAAGTGATAGTATTTGTAGAGTACTTACTGTTACTTGAGTAGTAGTACCTATTAGTAGTACTAGCATTTAGTAGTAGTAGCAATTAATCATAGAATGATAGTTAATCAGTGGTATAGTGTAGAAGTGTTGTAGTAGCAGCAGTGCAACAGCGACATTAATTGCAGTAGAAAAACAGTTAGTGGCAGTAGTTTATTGGGCGGTGGTAGTCAAAAGATTACAGAGGTAATAATGGGTCCAGGGACTGGACTCCAGTTTTGATAGCCTGAGCAAGTTACAGAGGTTATGAACTCACAATTTACAAAGGTAAATGAATCGGTAGGTATAGTCACAAGCATGACAAGTTACAATGGTATTTACAGATTACGAGAGTTACGTAATGGGTCAGGGAATGAGCCCCCCAAGTTTTGATAGCTGAACTAGGTACAAAGGTATGAACTCACAAGTTACCAAAGGTAATGAATCTGTAAGAATGGTTACTTCGTTTTATACATGGCTACAATCATGATCAAATTTTAGAGGAATGAGCAATTAACACTTCCACACCCGGTCACAATGTAGTGAGTTATTTGGTGCAAATATTGATTTTGAGACACACACACACACACACACACACACACACATCACTTACGAGAGGCCCCTTGGAGCTAGCGATCACGTGGTTCTGAGTTTTGACTTATAGTAGAGTTACAAGTGGAGAAGTAACAGGAACTGAAGGGGACAGGCCAAACTATAAAAGGGGGACTACACAGGTATGAGAAACTTCCTGCAGGAGGTTCAGTGGACAGAGAAATGGTAGGAAAATCAGTAAACGAGATGATGGAATATGTGGCAACAAAGTGCAAGGAGGCAGAGTAAAGTTTTGTTCCCAAAGGGGAAACAGAAATAATAGGAAGACCAAAACGAGTCCTTGGTTTACCCGAAGGTGTAGGGAGGCAAAAACTAAGTGCAACAGAGAATGGAAAAGGTACAGGAGGCATAGGACCCAGGAAAACAAGGAGATTAGTAGAAGAGCCAGAAACGAGTATGCACAGATATGGAGGGAGGCCCCAGCGACAGTATGAAAACGACATAGCTTCGAAAGTCAAATCTGACCCGAAACTGCTGTATAGCCACATTAGGAGGAAGACAACAGTCAAGGACCAGGTGATAAGGCTGGGGAAAAGAAGGTGGAGAAATCACAAGAAACGATCAAGAGGTATGTGAGGAGTCAACACGAGATTTAAGGAAGTATTTACAGTAAGACAAGAAGGACTCTGGGGGGACAGACCAGATGGGACACCAACAAGGAATACACCAACAAGTGTTGGGCGACATACATACAGATGAGGAGGGGAAGAAACTGTAAGGGACATCGATACCTCAAAGGCAATGGGACATCTCCCATGGGGCCTTAGAGAGGGAGCAGATATGTTGTGCGTGCCACTTACACAATCTTCAACACGTCCCTGGAAACTGGGCAACTACCTGAGGTATGGAAGACGGCAAATGTAGTTACCATTTTAAAAAAGGGGACAGAAAAGAGGCACTAAACTATAGACCTGTGTCATTGACGTGTATAGTATGCAAATTATGGAGAAGATTATCAGGAAGAGAGTGGGTGGAGCACCTGGAACGGAACAAGAGTAAAATGCCAACCAGCACGGATTCATGGAAGGCAAATCCTGTGTCACAAACCCTTTTGGAGTTTTATGATAAAAATAACAGAAGTAAGACACGAGAGAGAGGGGTGGGTTTTATTGCATCTTCTTGGACTGCAAGAAGGCCTTTGACACAGTTCCTCACAAGAGATTAGTGCAGAACTAGAGCATCAGGCGCATATAACAGGAAGGGCACTGCAATGGGTCAGAGAATACCTGACAGGGAGGCAACAACGAGTCATGGTACGTAATGATGTATCACAGTGGGCACCTGTGACGAGCGGGGTCCCACAGGGGTCGGTCCTAGGACCAGTGCTATTTTTGGTATATGTGAACGACATGGTGGAAGGGTTAGACTCAGAAGTGACCCTGTTTGCAGATGATGTGAAGTTAATGAGGAGAATTAAATCTGATGAGGACCAGGCAGGACTTCAAAGAGACCTGGACAGACTGGACCACTGGTCCAGCAAATGGCTTCTCGAATTTAATCCTGCCAAAAGCAAAGTCATGAAGATAGGGGAAGGGCACAGAAGACCACAGACAGAGTATAGGCTAGGTGGCCAAAGACTGCAAACCTCACTCAAGGAGAAAGATCTTGGGGTGAGTATAACACCGAGCATGTCTCCGGAAGACACATCAATCAGATAACTGCTGCAGCATATGGGCGCCTGGCAAACCTGAGAACAGCATTCCGATACCTTAGTAAGGAATCGTTCAAGACACTGTACACCGTGTATGTCAGGCCCATACTGGTATGCAGCACCTGTTGGAACCCGCACTTGATAAAGCACGTCAAGAAACTAGAGAAAGTACAAAGGTTTGCGACAAGGTTCGTTCCAGAGCTAAGGGGAATGTCCTATGAAGAAAGATTAAGGGAAATCGGCCTGACGACACTGGAGGACAGGAGGGTCAGGGGAGACATGATAACGACATATAAAATACTGCGTGGAATAGACAAGGTGGACAAAGACAGGATGTTCCAGGGAGGGGACACAGAAACAAGAGGCCACAGTTGGAAGTTGAAGACACAAATGAGTCAGAGAGATATTAGGAGTATTTCTTCAGTCATAGAGTTGTAAGGCAGTGGAATAGCCTAGAAAATGACGTAGTGGAGGCAGGAACCATACACAGTTTTAAGACGAGGTTTGATAAAGCTCATGGAGCGGGGAGAGAGAGGGCCCAGTAGCAACCGGTGAAGAGGCGGGGCCAGGAGCTAAGACTCGACCCCTGCAACCACAAATAGGTGAGTACAAATAGGTGAGTACACACACACACACACACACACGCACACACACACACACACACACACACATACACATACACACACGCGCATGTAAAAGGGAGGGCACTGCAATGGATAACGGAATACCTGACAAGGGAAAGGAAACAACGAGTCAGGGTTTTGGGAAGAGGTATCACAGTGGGCCCTTTTTACGAGGGGGGCCCCACAGGGGTCAGTTCTGGGAAACCAGTGCTATTTTTGTTTATATGTGAACGACATCGGGGAAAGGGAATAGCCCTCTGAATGTCCCTGTTGCAATGACGGGGAATTGATGAGAAAAAAATTAAAGGAACGGGGATGGGGCCCAGGCCCTGCAAAGAACCTGGACGGGGCTGGAAAATGTGGCCCCAGAAACCTGGCTTCTTCCGAATTAAAACCCACCCAAAAGAAAAGGGTCATGAAGATTGGGGGGGGGAAAAGAAGACCCCCAGCCCAGAGTTTAGGCTAGGTGGAAAAAAGACTACAGACCTCACTCAGGGGGGAAAGACCTTGGGGGGGTGACCATAACACCGAGCACATCACCGGAGGCAAAACATAAAAACCAAATAACAGCTGCAGCATAGGGGCCCGGGCCCTGGAAAACCTGAGAAAAAGCGTTCCGATTTCCCTTAAAAAAGGAATCGTTTTAAACACTGTACACGTGTATGTTGGGGCCCCAAAATGGAATATGCAGCAAACCGTCTGGAACCCCCACCCGGCAAGCACGTTTAAGAAGTTAGGAAAGTACAAAGGTTTTCAAAAAAGGGCTTCCCCGAGCTTTAAGGGAATTTTCGTACCCGGGAAAGGTTTAGGGAAATCGGACTGACGACCCTGGAAAGGGCAAAGGGTAAAGGGGGGGGACATGGGTAACGACATACAAGATACTTTCCCGGGGGGTAGACAAGGTGGACAGAGATAGGATGTTCCCGAGGGGGACACAAAGGGCAAAGGAAATACAACTGGAAACCGGAAAAACCCGACGATCACAGGGACTTTGGAAAAAATTTCTTTAGTCTTTGAGTTTTTCAGCAAAATGGAATGGGCCCAAACAAAAAAAGTAGTTGGGGGGCAGGAAAACCTTTCTTTTTAAAAAAAGGGTATGACAAAGCTCAGGAAACAGAAAAGAGG